TTCCAGGAAGGAAAGAAAGGCAGTTTCTCTCAGAAGAGTGCAAAGAATTCAGTTTCCAAATATCTATCTGCTCCTTCAGAGAAATTTAGCTTGTTTTTTGTTGTTGCCTGCTGTTGATATTTGTTGTTTTGTTTGGTTTGAGTTTTTTTCCTGTTTGCATCCAGTAAAGTATTTTCAGTGAACTTGATGCACAGTAAAGATGTGTAGTCAAGTGATGAGTGTCTTTCCTGAAGACCCCACCAGAAAAGAATCTTTTCTCTGTTTCTCAGCTATCCTGTGCCAGCTTTGGGAGGAACAGCTCAGGCCCATATGTGTGTTCATTGTGGATTTGGTATCTTGCTTCACACATCTCCAACCAGAACCTGCTATCCTGAAACTCATACTGCTTCACTGCTATAGTGAAATAGTATTTGCAGTGTTCCACAAAACAGGATTAAAACTGTTCCAGGAAGTGTAATGGAGACTAGAACAACACGTTGGGCCTCTCTTCATAACGAATCCAAAATAGTCCAAGGCCTGCTTATCTTTGGGAAAGTTCAGGTTCAAGTCAAAGACTGGTACAAATTCTTCCACTGCTCTGTTGGACAAATCCAGGTAGCTCAGAAATGCTCAAGAAAGGAGGTAACTTGGTTTTGGAAGCTAAATAAAGGTATGATCTCTCAATAGTCAAGAGGTATGAGCTATAGAGGTGATGCTGCAGAATTCTCTTCCTCATAATTTGGTAAATAGGCTTGTAGAGGACTGAATACTTAGACTAACCTGTTGCCAAGCCCAGTAAATTCCTTTCTTGTAAGGATGGCACATTCCATAATGAATAGCTAAGATGATCTGTTCAATGAGCCGTTTGCAAAGTGCAGACTCTCCTTAAAGTAAAAGCTGTTACAGGAGTTTTTTCTATCATAACTGTTCTGAGCTATAAATACACAGTAAATTATCAGTCAGGTGTTTTCTAGATGGCTGCACATTATTCCTAGCTTTGCACATAAGGATATTGTTTAACCCTTTCTTTTCTCCTCTCTGGCAATTCATAAGGCAGAAGGGAGGACCCACCACGTTAGTCAAATTCTTCAGTTAGCAGAGCTGGAATACAGAGGAGTTATCCAGGATAGGATGTGGAAAAGGCTACACTAAAAGAACCTTCTTCTATCTGTTGATAGGCATGCTTGATACACATCACCATGATGTAGAAGCTTGTGGTGGTGAGTTTTAGTGACTTCTCTTCATCATTTTGACATCTCCATGAATAACAGTGGCCCAAAATATAATATGTGATCTGATTCTGCTCTCTCTCTATGAGAAATCATGGAGTAGTGCTCTCTGCATGAGGCTTGTCTCTGTGATGGGTCTGAACAAATCTCCACCAAGAAAAGCAGAAGCATGACCGTTGACAAGGGAAAAATAAAAGTCATCAGAATTGCAAATTGATTTCTGAGGTTGGGGAATCTCCATGTGACTCTGAAAGATAATTTTTAACTGAAAAAAAAGGGAGAATCATTCTTCTTTTTAAAAACTATTAATAAAAATTCAGCTTACAGATGCACTATCTCACAATGACATTTAATTCTGAATAAACAGAATGAAAATTTACTGGGTTGTACCTAGGGCTCCAAAGACAAACAATTTTGCAATATAAAATGGTGCCTCTTGGTTGCAAAAATTTGGTTTTGTTGCTTTAAATTTTAATTTCTGTAGCCTTCAGGCATTCAGCAAGGAAGATTGTCTGAAAATTTCAAAATGTGTATTTCAAGGACTGATCACCAAAATTCAGAACTTAACACTGAAATAAAACTTGCTGACTTTTCCTAGCAATATTAATTAGAAAGATTGTTACTTTCCAAACAAAACCTGATGCTCCCAGGTGGGTGTGGAAGGACTTGGTCTTGTTTTCCCATCTTCACTGCTGACTGCCAATAACCAGAATGTAGGTATCATTTTGGGAGGTGCTGTATTAGCCTTTCACCTTAAGAAAACCCTTCTTTCGTTGCTTTGTTAAGGTGATTTGCACTGGAGTGTTAAAAATTCAGAGGGTCATGAATTTCACTCAAAGATCCTACACGTGGCACAGATCTGACAGAAAGGTGTCAGAATGCACAGACTTGTACAAATCCAGACTACAAAAACTCCAGCATCTCTAAGAACCTCCAATAACATTTCACTTCAAGGATCCCATATGCCCCTCAAAGCATGGCACCCTAATCTCTATGGCTATCAAATTCAACTGGTTGTAGTCCAGAACTGGAAATTCAAAGCCCCAGGATAAGTCTATGTGACAAAAGGCTTTCAGCCAACAAGTCTGGAAATCTGAAATTATGTATTTTGAACTATAAGTAGTCTGAGAGTTGAGATATTTAATAACAATGTCAAGAGTGTGTGAATTTCTGGTTTGGAAAAATAAACAAGAATAATTTTCAAAACCATATTCAAGTGTAAAATTCACAATAGAAGGTGGTTGCCTCAAGTTGAGACTCCAGGTTTAGAGACAAATAATAACCATTTTACTGTCAGAGTTGTTTAGAGCAACGAGGATACAACAACTAGGTCAGAAGGATTTTATTTCTCAACTTCAGATTAAATTAGAGCTGCTCCAAAACCACATTGCTTTAGAAGCGACAGATACATTCGCTCCTGCGAAAAGCCCAGTGTGAGTCTTGGCAGACAGAAAAAGCTTTTGCTCTGTCCATGGAAACATCTGCACGGGCTCCCTGGACCCTGAATATGTGAGCAGTGGGGACCCAGCTGGTACTGAGAGCAGAGCAGGGGGGAGGGAAAATTAACATCCTCCTGGGATGGAAGGCAAATTGGGTTGCGTGGCTCACAGCAGCTTCACATGGACAAACAGCACTAGCTGGAGTCCCAGAGCCACCAGGCAGCTTGTTTTCCACAAGGTCATGCAAGGTTCACTCACATCCTCCTTGCCTGTTGATCCTGAAACTACGTTAGCCCTGTGCCTCTGTCGCTGTGCACATTTTCAATTGTTTAATAAGCAACTGTCAGTACCCAAGTGGAACTGTTTTCACAGCTAGAAATGTATTTTCTGCTTGGGTTGTTCTCTTTTGGGTATGTCTGGTGCTGCTTATGTGATTTTTCTACGTGGAAGTTATCCACAACAGCTTCTTCGGGATCTATCACAATTTTTTTTCTCAGAAGGCTTCTTCACACCTGAAATAAAATTCACACTTTGCAAATGACAGTATTAGTTTCCAGTATGCACCTCTAACAGTGTGGTCTGCTCCAAAACATCTTCATTTTTGGTTAAGAAAGGAGATTTGTTTTCTGTCACCACAAAAGATACCTGGACTTTGACCTTTAGGGTTGCTTTGGCTGGATTGTTGAGAGAACTTGTCAAGTTTCTGCAAAGTATGGTAATGCCTGTCAGCTGATGGGATGGTGCTAGAGTCAGGAAACCAAATTACTATGATCCTAAGGTGCTGATGACCATTCTCACTGCTGTCTTTTTTGGCTGTAGTTGTGGGGGTTTATATAAACAGGGAAATTTTATTAAGAAGCCAGAGGAAGGAACAGGGATACTTTGTGGACCAGAACTAGACACATTTTTGATGAAGTGTTGTTTAGCATTCCTTCGGAGCCAAAAAATATTGATTTGAACAATGCAAATGGGACATTGTGAGACTGTATAAAACCTGTCACTCACTGAATCTTAAATAACTACAGCACAGTTTTATCTTCAGTGTTACTTGGAATTGTATCAAGGAAGCTTTTTTCCCCTCCTTTTTCTTTCTTTCATTCCATTTTTTTTAAAAACCTCAAGGTCAAACAAAACATACGCTTAAAAATAAAGCTTTATCAAGAGAGATGGAGGACTAAAGGGCTTCCTATTTTTAGTAAGGGCAATCTAATCTAGGCAGAAGTTGTTCTGGGCCTCTCTCTGTTTTCCATGAAAGGTAGGTGCTCCTGGGATGGTTCCCAGGGCTTTCTGTGGCTTCTGTTTTCAGATGCAACTCAGGTTTTATTGAGCAAGTATCCTGGAAAGTCCTGAGCAAAATGAGAGACAGCTGATAGTCCTAGAATACCAGTGCTTTTAGTAAGGCCCTGCAGCTGTATCTCTGGGTTGTGAATTCTCATAGGCTTTGAGCCAAACTCTTTTCCCCAGTCCTCCCCCAGCTACTGATATGGTCCTTGACAGGGGAAAGCATCTGTCCAACTGAAAGCACAGAAAGTGATTAAGTGCTTTCTTAATCAGGGCCTTGTAACTCTTATATTTGACTCTTGGCTTAGTCAAAGCCAGCTATTTCAGTAAATTTAATGTGGAATTGGATGGAAATGGTAATGAGACAGAACTTTTCACTTCTAGGTCATCACTGAACAATTTTTCAGGAAGGAAAACCCTATAAAATTATTGCTTGAAGGCAGTCAAGAGTGCCTTTGAAATGCTGAAGCACAAATATCTTGGCTGATCTGACTGCTTTGTATTGCCAGCATTATGGGAATTTGCTTGTGAGTTTACTATGCAGAGACAAGAAAATTGCTTTTGAAACACCCATCAGACAACTGATATAAAGCCCTAAGATGGAAAAAAACCCAACACAGTTCTTCTTTTGTAACCAGGAGAAAAATAAATTCCTCTCCCATTAGCCTGAGACTTTAAGCTATATCCCATATAGAAAGAAAAAATGCAGACGAGGTCACTAAGAGATCTGTTTGGTTGGTTCTGACCTGTAATGCCTGGACCTGTGGGGTCTGTGCATTGTCTCTTTTAGGAGGCTGAAGAAGGCAAATCATGTGATTTCTGGGAGGATTGAAAGTACTTTTACAGAAAAAAAAATGCTTTAGCAAGCAACAAAATTATCACCAGTGTGCTTAAACGTATAAAAAAAAAAGAAATAAAGTCAGATTTCTGTGTAACCTGATGACTTTATGCTTGGGAAGGAATAATCATTAAGCAGAATAAGATATCTGGGAGTGGGGAAACAACATAGAGCCAAGGCTGCAAACTACCCTTTTTTAATTCTAATGCAAGAGACAATCTCATCTAAGTTTGCAGGAAAATTTGCCATGCCTGGGTCATGTGGAAATCTGAAGCAGGCTGCCCTCCTTTCCATCTCTTCAGTGCTAAGCAATGATCTGCATCCCTGAAGTTTGGAGAGGAAATATACATAAAGCCTGTAAGTATTTATGAGGGCTATAAAAAAGAGCTTTGCAGTAGTTGACATGGGAAGTGATTAAAGTACCTTATAGGCAAAGATTGCAGAAAAGAGGGAGAAGTGATGCCAGAAGAGAATCTGGCAACAATCCCGAGGTAACGATAAGTGACTTTAAGAAGGAGGAGTTGTGGGAGGAAAAGCAAAAAAAATTAAATTGAAGCAGATTGCAAGACTTTTGGCCTTGGGGAGTGAGCTACAGAGGCTGTTGATTGCTGGACTTGCAGTCACAAAAGGAAGGTGATGTCTTACCCTGCTTGTGACTCAGAATTTACTGGTCAAAGCCCACAAAACAGCGGTTCATCAAGATTAACTTGAATTTGAAAGGACTCCATTTCCCAGGCATCTCAGCTTTCTCCATCTGTGTTTACACAAATGGGTCTTGGGTCTCTCCAGGGCTTAGCAAAAAGCTGCTCTGCATAGAAACACACACATGGGCCATGTTGCCAAGGGGGGGTCTCTCTGAGTGACTTGTTTTCCCAGGCTGATCTTCTTTTTTCCCTATTTTTCTCTTGTTTTCCTATTTAACAGGTGGAACATGTGTTCACACCTGTCCTTAGACATGACATGAGCATTTACAGATGAAAGGATACATCAGAAGACCACGAAGTTATCATGATCAGTAATGAGTATAAAAGTCTACCTTGGGAGATTGATTTTTGGACTCTTCTTATTCCAAATAATACAGAAATGGCTTCTGATCAGATGCCCTTGCAAATGGGGAGGAAGAAATGTACAGGCAAGGAGAATGGTGTGCAGAAAGGGAGAACAATAGAAAGGTATAGACAAATTTCAAAACTATTTAGAAAATAGTTGTGAGCAAAGGGTACATTTACTGAAATTGGCCCAGCTACAGGAGAAGAAAACAAGGGCTGAATTCATCAGGACATACTGAACAAATGCTTTAGACACTAAGAATTGGCCTATGTCCTCCCCAAAACTCAATAGTCTTCTACTTTGCTTTCATCAGGGTTTGCTTATGGTATTTTAGTTTAGGTATTGCAACTGTACCAGTGTGCAATCTGTCTTCTGTTGCATTGCTGTGTTACAAAGATGAAGTACAATGACACGGAATAAACTCATTGATCTGTGAATATTGAGCACATATGTCTTGATAGGTAATTATATTTCTTGGTCTCTGGCACTTTTGAGTTTTATTTGGGTCACACTAATGTCAAGAAGAACTTCAGGTTCTGAAGCATGCTGAGAATCAGGGTGTAGCTGTAGGTTCACATTCGAATTCAAATATCAACCAGCTGGGTTCAGATCATCATCATCATATTGCAGGAACACATTTGGTAAGCTTCTGCAGTGATATTCTTTGAACCTGTTACTATTCATGATTTTTATTATTTACCTGGATTGAATGAAAATATGCCATTAAAAGTAGCAGGTGACATAAATTTGAAAAGATAATAAAAGAGGACAGTCTTGTACTTCAGAATTATCAAATAGAAGTGGAAGAATAATCCAGGGGTTTGTGAAGGAACAAGATGAAATTCAACAAAGAGAAATGCTAGATACACAATTCTATACTTAAACAAGAACAATCAGATGTACAAACAAGGGATGTGAAGTAGCCAGTAGAGAAAGATCTGGAGCAATTGTGAATCCCAAGCTGAAGAGAAGTCAGAATTAAGATTGCCATGAGAAAAGCAAACACCATACTGGGATATATAAACCACAGTACCATCTGCATGACATGGGATGTGATTTTTCTTCTGTACTCTCGTCTCCAATTTTGGTCACTGTTGTTCAAGAAGGACAGAACTGGTTGAACAATGTCCAGAAGAGACCAACAGGAATGATTAGAAGTCCAGAGAACATGACTAAGGAGGAGAGATTGAAATATGGGGGTTATTTAGTCAAGAGAAGGTCAGCCTGGGAAGGGATTTGATAACAGTCTTTAAATACATGAAGAGGAAAAGAACAATTTGTTCTTTATGTCCAGTGTGCAGAGGAGAAGGGTTAAAGTATAACAAGAAACATTAAAGTTAGTTTTAATGAAAAAAAAATTCGTAATAGGAAAGATAAATGAAGCCCTGAAATAGCCTGGAGATTTGGATTTCATGGGAGATTTTTAGAGACAGGTTGGACATAGCATGTCTCAGGAATGACAGAGGGAGGACTGGTTTTGTCTGTGGCAGGCAGGCAGAGTTGATGGCTCTGAAGAAAGTCACTTGCAATTCTACTTTGTTCACTGTTCTACAAACAACTGTGACAAGTTCTTGCTGAGATAATAATCACAATAATATGGAATCTCATAGGAGTAGTTGGTAATTCAGGCTGTTGTTTTTGCCTTTCTGTACCATCAAATGTCATAGTCACAACAACAAACATAGGTATCTACTCAGGTCTCCAAACTTAGTGCACACACAAATTCATATAGAAGTGGCCAAAATGTTTCCCTCTACTCTTGTGTAAATGAGACATTCAGCAAAGCAATAAGTATCTGGACCATAATCCAAATGCCTCAACAAAACCTGGATTTCTATTGATATTTGAAAAACATTTACTACATTTTTGTGATACTATGTTCTAGTAAGAATACGAGTACAAACATATATAGTGCAAAACACCCATCTATTTGTGGACAGAAAACTCTAATTCCTCAGTCTTGGGAGAGACCAGAGTCTGTCTTCATAGGTTCCTATTTATGCTTGCTAACATTGGAAGTGTCACTAGGCTATGGATAGGATCCTGAAAGGTGCACAGGTTGTCAGCACTGCCCATGGCTGTCGTAGCCTGCATTCACCTTTGGGGTAAAAAAATTAAGAGTTGGAGAGGAGCTACTAAAATCTTCATCTCGGCTCCCTGTCTAGGCATTTATTTGATTTATTCTATGGAAGTAATCTCTGTTGCTGTATTGCACTGGATGATATATGCTGTGTTAGAACCATTTGAATGCATGCTGGAGACCTTTCAGGGCTGCTGGGACTTGGAGGCTGGTCCTTGCTGAGAGATGTGGGTTTAGTTATTGCATTGTTTCCTAAGTGGTGGGAAGCTCTAGGTCTGCAGATGTGTTCTTTGACCCCATTTGAGTGTGGTGCTTGCTCCCATCAATACCCAAAAACTGAGTGGGGGGGCAGCTTCCTCCTGTGATTTACAGAGACTTTTTGTTTCCCTGTCAGCCACAGAAGCCCCAGCTGTGTCCTGCCTTTGCCCACAGGAACGTGCCACCCCCAGATCCCGTGTGCCACAGGCTGCAGTGACCAGCTGCCACCCAGTCCTGCCACGGGCAGTGGAGGGGGGCAGACCTCCTGCCATCATGGGGCAGAAATCACTCCCTGCCACTCTGAATAGAAATAAGCTAAATTATGCTTCAGGTGAAGCGAGGAATAAGGATGATTCAAGGCCTCTGAGGATGGGCAGAAGTGAGCTAGTCCATGGGATAAGTTCAGTTTTAATTTGCTCTGCTCTGTGGGCAGGGGGCAGCTGTGATGCACCATTTTGTCACATGAGCCCAGGAAAATGATTTTGTCACTGTCAGTAATGAATGTTGGTTCTGGTATTACAGCCCCAGAAGGAGAAAAAGACATAATTGCTGTGCACAGAGGGCCAAAAATTTCCATAATTTTTCCTTTTTCCCTTCCCTGTGCGCCATCCTCCCTTGTGCTGCCAAAGAAAAGAGCCCCTCAGAGGTTACCCTCCGCCTTCCTTGAATTCACATGACTTTGCCGTTTCGGATCCTTCACCCCCTGTGTTTAACCGAGGTTATGAAAACCAAGCTGCTTGCTCTCTGTTTGTTTTCAGTGATCTTCTCTGTGTGCTGCCAGCAGCCAGAGCCGTGGCCTTTCCCAATACAGGGCACCACAGTGAGCTCCGAGTGCACCCAGGGCAGACGGGAGAGGTGCAGGAGACAGCAGCCAAGCTGAGCTTATGTAAAAAAATTAAGGTCAAGGCCTCAGCAAGATTTACAGTGCTTTGTGTTCAAGGTACTGGTGGTTGAGCTTAGGTCGTGTTTTTCCTGCTGCTCTGAGGCAGAGACCAGCTGCAAGGTACAATGCAGGGACACAGTGGCTTTCAAATAGCATGACCAGTCAGCTCTGCAGCTGCACTACTCTGAAACTGGGATGCAAGAACCAGAAGCAGCTGGGATTTGCACTGGAGCGATTTCTATAATCCTTGGGCATGCTGCAGATATGAAATTGTTTGTGGAAGAATCCTGATGGGCCAGCACATGGGAAATTATTTGGGCAGTTGCCTACAATGATGGCAAATCCCCATTGCATTGGAAAGTAGAATTTCCAAATTGTATTTAGGTGACTTGAAACCCACACCCCATCTTCAGGCTTGGCAGGCTCGTATCTATGAAGCATTTCTGTTGGGAAATAGGATTCTAAAACTTTTGACACTCAGCACTAAGTTAACTTAAATCCCACTGATTTTGGCATTATTGGAACATAATTCCTTCTACAGTGGCTTTAAAAGGAGTCCCAGTGAGAAGGAACAGCGGGTGAAAAAGTCAGAACAAAAATTAGAAGGGCAATAGTTTATAGATGCATTGCAGGGTAAGATTAGAAATGTATCTATTTATCTCTGCTGTTTCACTGGCTTCTCTTTTGGTTTTGACTTTTGTGGAATATATTTAATCACTCTCAAATGTCAGAGCATGAATGTGGGTGATGCTGTCCCAGATGGCTAGCACAGAGCATGGGCTTCTCACACAAAGCAGGGGGACATGTGTGAACGCCTGGAGGACTTTGTGTGCTGATCCCATTTCGTGACTTCCTTTGAGACCACAAAGCCGTGCATGAGTCCTCCTTTGTACTTTCTGGTTCAGCTGTGTCTTGAAAGCTGGCTAGCACGCATCCTAGGGAAGATCCCCGAGGTTGGCTCTGTGCTGTAAGATGCTTGTCTTCTATGGTAAGCAGGGCACCTCCACCAGGGAACATCTGGGGCTGGGGATGAGCGAGACCATAGGGGGAATGCACATCAGCTAGTCCTGAGCTGTAGCAGCTACTCAGTTCTCCATGCAGCTGCACTGCACAAGAGATCAGGCTGTGCCTTGTATCTTGACATGCAGTTCAATGAGAGGAATTAAGCAAGCTTGTTATTTCAGAGCTGGTTATTGATCCATGCTTTGTTTTCTTTTTTTGGGTGGGGTATGGAGAGTCTAAAGGTCATAACACATTTTTTTCTATAGTTTGTAGTGTCTCTCTTCCTCATGGGGCTACAGACAGGGCAGGCTTTGGCCACTTCCCAGGCGAGCCTGCTCCCATGCCCAAACCACCTGCTGGTGAAAAACCTTTTCCTGATGTCCAACCTAAATCTCCCTCAACTCAGCTTCATGCTGTTTCCTCAAGTCCTGTCAATGATCATGAGAGAGAAGAGCACTGTACTTGCCCCTCCTCTTTCCCTCATGAGAAAGTTCAGACTGGATGAAGTTCCCTCTGCCTCCTGCAGGATAAATGGACCAAGTGACTCAGCTACTCCTCAAACAACTTCCCCTCCAGGCCCTTCACCATCCTCATGGACCTCCTTTGGATGCTTCGGACTTTGACAGGGGAATGTTGACATAACTGATCCATAATGCCAGTGACCCATAGTAAGATATTTGCCTTTGTTGAAAAGCATCGCTCCAGGCCAGGAATTTGGATCAGAATGGGGCAAAGCATTAAGTAAGCTCCTTGTGCCACATGAACGAGGCTGTCCTGCCAAAGCCAGAAATGGTACCTTCTTTGGTACAAAGACTAAGTCTTGATTTGTGTTTATATTTCATTTAGCATGCTGGTGCCAGTGCCAGTATAAACCTGTAGATATTACTGGAATACAAATCTTAAAAGTAGTTTTTGCATTTGTTCTTAGAGTCCTTCACGCTGAAGTTTTATTTCCTGCTGACTAGGAACTGTCCATACTAGCTTTCTGCATTTCCTACATGAAAAAAGGTTACCCAGTTTTGAGTCAATTTAAATTATCTCTTCCTGAAAGGTAGAGGGCCTGAAATTTAAAGAATTTAAGTAATGAATTTTCTACCTTTGCTACAACTGGTTTTGTCCTTCTAAATAGTAATGGAGAAGGTAGAGAAGGTCTTGAATTACCTAAAGTTCTTTGAATAGCTTTTGCAACAATGCTTTCTATGGTAGAGGTTTTC